AGGCTTGTTTCTAACATCTCCTTTAGAGGCAGAAAATGTCACCTATTGTGATAACACATGCTCTGTACTGGAATGTATCCATATAAATACATACACATTGTATTTATTAATAAATGTAAGATGCTTTCACTATGCCACTACCATCAAATTCACAACTCACAGGTATTCTTGCCTAGGAAATGACTCCATTTCTTTAAGTACAAAAAGGAAATAACTGTATCTATATATACATCTCTCCATCCATCCCCATGTCTGTTACATAACCGCGGAGGTGGTTTGTGAATTTGGTCGCAATTGGGAAGGATCTGATTTAGATCTGAAGAATTCTTTCTAAAAAGTGGGCTGCAGGCTGGGCACAGTGGCTCACTCCTGTAATCCCAGCACTCTGGGAGGCCGAGGTGGGAGGATCGCTTGAGGCCAGGAGCTGAAGGCTGCAGTGAGCTGTGATGACACCACTGCACTCCTGCCTGGGCAACAGAGCTGAGACCCCGTTTCCTGTACTTTTACAGACCCCCGGCTGTAAAGGTATCAATTGGTCGTGCAGGGATTTTCCACACCCTCCCTCTCTGCTTTACTGTTCTACATACTTCTCATCACTATCTGAATTTCTTCTGCATTTAGCTTTTTCTTTCTTTATTTTATTTATTTTTTTTGGGGGGCAGGGGACAAGGTCTTGTTCTGTCACTCAGGGTAGAGTGCAGTGGCTTCATCACAGCTTACTGCAGCCTCCAACTCCTGGGCTCAAGCGATCCTCCTGCCTCAGCCTCCTGAGTAGCTGGAACAACAGGTGCATACCACCATGCTTGGGTAATTTTTAAATTTTTTGTACAGATAGGGTCTTGCTATGTTGCCCAGGCTGGTCTCCAACTCCTGGCCAAATGTGATCTTTCCACCTTGGCCTCCCAAAGCGCTGGGATTCCAGTCACAGGCCGCCACGCCTGGCTGTATTTAGCTTTTTATTTTGCTTGTTTTTCATCCCTCTCCTGGCACGTCAGCTCACGAGGACAGGAAATTTTGCCCGTTTTGGTCACCACTGTGTCTCAGCATCGCCAACAAGCGTTAGCAAACTATGACCCTCAGCCCAAATCTAACCTGACACCTGTTTCTATACAGTCCCTGAACTAAGAATGGGTTTTTCTTTCTCTTTTAAACGTTGGACGAACAAAAGCAAAAGAATAATATCTGGTGACACGTGACAACACATACGATTGAAATTTCAGTATTTATAAATAAAGTTTTATTAGCACACAGCCACACCTCTGTTTTCATACAGTCTGTGGTTGCTCTTGCCCTAGATGGCAGAGTTGAGTCATTGCTACTGACACAGTGTGTATCCACAAACAGAAAATATTTACTACCTCGAACTTTGTAAAAAACATTTGTAGATCCCTGAACCAAAACCGTGTCTGGCATACAGTAGGCGCTGGGTAAGCTGTAGAGGCTATTGCTGAATACCCGATGTGAGAGTCCAAAGCAGTTTATGACTGTAGCCTGTGGCGACAATGGGACCCAGATCATGATTGTGGTTTGGCCAATGTCTGGGCAGGTACTTCCCATCTATGAGCCTGGGTTCATCATCAGAAAATTGGGGTCGATGGGAATAGTGATAACATGCAAACCCTTTGAACTGGCAGCTTCTAGGAAGAGGCTCAGGAATGTCAGCTAACTGACAACCACGACTCTCTTGTGATCCGTTCCCCACCTTCGGCAAGTAATTAGCAACTCACGTTCTACGTTGTTTCATCTGTTCTTTCCCCACCCACGCCTTTCCCATTCTTCCTTTCTTTTTTTACTTAAGTTTTTTTTTTTGAGACAGGGTTTCACTCTGTTACCCAGGCTGGAGTGCAGTGGCATCATCACAGCTCACAGCAGCCTCCAACTCCTGGGCTCAAATGATCCTCCTGCCTCAGCCTCCCGAGTAGCTGGGACTACAGGTGTGCCCACCACCATGCCCGGCTAATTTTTCTATTTATTGTGGAGATGGGGTCTGGCTATGTTGGCCAGGCTGGACTGCAGTGGCTATTCACAGATGGCATCCTACTACGGAGCAGCACAGCACCTGCTCCTTTTGCAACATGGGCCAGTTCGCTCTCCTTAGGCAAGCAGGAGATCCCCCTGCTCCCAGGAGGTCACTATACTGATGCCGAACTTAGTGCAGACACCCAGCTGGCACCGCACGTGATAGCCCAGAACTCCTGGGCTCCCACCTCAGGCTCCCAAGTAGCTGGGACCACACACACACAGTGCTGCGCGGACTTGCCATTATTTCAATGCAAACCCTATACCATTTCTTCTATAAATATGCTTGAAACTTGTTCCTGATACAGACTCCTTTTGAAACACAGATCCAATACCATTATCATAGAAAACCTTCAAACCATGAGAGTTGCAAAAATCTACAGGTCTGATAAAATTTTATAGAACTGCACACACACACACACAGAGCATGTATAATCTGATGAAATCTAAATAATGGCTGTACTAGAGTTGATTGTATTATACTAACATCCATTTCCTGGTTGCCAAAACACACTATGGTTATGTATGTTGTTATTACAAAGGGTACACAAAACTCTGTACTATTTTTGGAACTTCTTGTGAGTACTAAACTTTATCAAAATAAATAAAAATCAGGCTGGGCACAGTGGCTCGTGCCTGTAATCCCAGCACTTTGGGAGTCCCAGGCAAGCGGACTGCTTGAGGCCAGGAGTTTGAGAGCAGCCTGGACAACATAGCAAGACCCCCATCTCTACAAAAAATAGGAAAATTAGCCAGGCTTGGTGGCATACGCCTGTAGTCTGATGAGCTGAGCAGAAGAATTTGGCTTTACAGACAGAGAAAGCTTGAAGAAAAGCAAAAGCAAAGAATAAAAAGTGTACTAGTCCTTTCAAAGGCAGGGACAGGGAAACAAAACGATAGAAAAAATAAGTGATTAGTTAACACCATGTTACTTCTGGATTCTTTTTTTGCGTATGGATTAAAGCAAAAGGAATGTCACTACCATGCCCACTGAAGGTTGAAACTGGCCGTTTGAGAAATTAGCTGTTATGTCTCCCTCCAGACATCTTGGAAGGTCAGACAATTTTAGTTTAGGTTTGGTGACCTGGAACACCAGTGTGACTGACTCCATTTTGATTTTTAGTCTGGTCTGTTGGTGCCTAGGGCAAGAACGTAGTCCAAAACAATGACCTCTTCTAGTTTTTTTTTTTTTTGAGACAGAGTCTTGCTTTTTGTTGCCCGGGCTAGAGTGAGTG